TTCCTATTGAAACTCACCCCACTGATACAGGCCAACAACTCCTTTGTAACTTAGTTTTAGTGACTTGGCCTGGGGCACTGAGAAATTATGTGACGTCCAGAGGAAGGAAGGGAGAGCCTAGATGTGTCAGAGGCACAGAATGAACATGAATCTTCCTGACTCTAAGGCCAGTTTTCTATGTCCTGTACCATATTCTTTCTAAGCTCTTTTTCCAAATACAGTATTCGCCTGTGATAGTCCTGATACTGATGCTTTATCAGTTGAGGTATGTAGACTTAGGAATATTTTCTTGTTTATATCTGTTTCCTGGAACCTCAGAATTGGGAGGGACCTCAGGGACCTTTTTATACAAACTATGATATAGACAAGAACTCCTTCTCTGTGGCTTCACTTCATTGTCAAGGGTCGTCTAGCCTTTGCTTGCAGAGTTAGTATTACCAAAGATGCTTGTCTTCCCCTGGCGTCACACATTCTACCTATAGAGAGAGAGCTTTCCTTTTCTTAGGAAATTTTCCTTTACATAACCTAAATTATCTTCTTTGCAACTTATACACATTTTTTGGTTCTGCTTCCTTTTTTTTATCTTTCTCTATTCACCTACCCCCTCTTTTCCAGGGGACAAGAGGGAGGATTCTTTCATCTTAATGTATTCATTTTGTTATTACTCAACAAATACTAAGTACCTTCTGTTGGCAGAGCATTGTAGTAGACTACAGAGGAGATAGTGTTTAGATAACCTGGTCACCTGCGTCATGGAGCTTGTGTCCTGGTAGAAGATATATAGCTCTAGAACTCAAATACAAAATAATGCATGTACAAAAATACTGTTCTGTAAAGTCTAGCTTAAAGATAATTGTTCCCAAATGGTATAATCAGGGAAGACTTCCTGGAAGAGTTAGCATTTGAGTTGAGATTTAAAATGTTGAGGAATTTAGGGAAAGAGGGGGAGAGATCAATTCATTCCTAGAAACCATTATAGAAAAAAGGCTTGGAGGCTGCGAAAAGTAGAGTTGGGGAACAGTATTCCACTTGAGTTGGTATAGTATATACAGCAGGGTAATTTGAGGTTATGTTGGAAAGGTCCAGTTATGTCAGATTTTGGAGGGCCTTATTATGTCAAAGAGTTTGAGCTTTATGTGGTAGGGAGCCACTGAAGACTTTTGTGGAAAGAGGTAGGATTGAGGGGTGAAGGAGAAGAAACAAAGATAATGCTAAGGTTTGCAGTATAGGAAACCGAATATTTGATGTCCAGAAGTTGATTTTGACTGTATTTCTTAATGTCTGTTTTTATAGGAGTCTTTCAATAATGTAAAACAGTGGCTGCAGGAAATAGATCGTTATGCCAGTGAAAATGTCAACAAGTTATTGGTAGGGAACAAATGTGATCTGACCACAAAGAAAGTAGTAGACTACACAACAGCAAAGGTATGTCAATTTTATTCTTTAGATTTTATTGTTATAATTTTTTTTCCCCAAGTTTAGGCTTGAAAAAGTAGAACTATTCTCACTTTTAAAAATCTACTGTCATTCCTTATTTAAGTAGTCCTCTCTCTCTGAATCAAAAAACTTGAGTATTGTTAAAGGAATGTTCATTTGAATCAAAGTAAACTTGGAGAATTTAACCTAATATAATTCAAATACAGAATGATGCATGTACATAATTGCTCTGTAGAATCAAGAAAGACTTCCTGGAAGACTTAGTATTTGAGTTGAGATTTAAAATGGAAAGAATTCAGGCAAAAGAGAGGGAGAACAATTCATTTCTAGGGGGAAAGGCTTAATGTTTATTACCAATATACTTTATTATATTTTTGCTTAAAAGATGCAAATGCATATGGTGAGTGGATCTAACTTTATTCATGTCATATTTTATATTCTTAGGAATTTGCAGATTCTCTTGGAATTCCATTTTTGGAAACCAGTGCAAAGAATGCAACAAACGTAGAACAGTCTTTCATGACAATGGCGGCTGAGATTAAAAAGCGAATGGGCCCTGGAGCAACAGCTGGGGGTGCAGAGAAATCCAATGTTAAAATTCAGAGCACTCCAGTCAAGCAGTCTAGTGGAGGTTGCTGCTAAAATCTGCCTCCCTTCTTTTCTCACAACAATGAATTTGCAATCTGAACCCAAGTGAAAAAAAAAAAACAAAAAACAAAAAAAAACCACACAAAAAAAACAAAATTGCCTGAATTGTACTGTATGTAGCTGCACTACAACAGATTCTTACCGTCTCCACAAAGGTCAGAGATTGCGAATGGTCAATACTGACTTTTTTTTTATTCCCTTGACTCAAGACAGCTAACTTCATTTTCAGAACTGTTTTAAACCTTTGTGTGCTGGTTTATAAAATAATGTGTGTAATCCTTGTTGCTTTCCTGATACCAGACTGTTTTCCGTGGTTGGTTAGAATATATTTTGTTTTGATGTTTATATTGGCATGTTTAGATGTCGGGTTTAGTCTTCTGAAGATGAAGTTCAGCCATTTTGTATCAAACAGCACAACAGTGTCTGTCACTTTCCATGCATAAAAGTTTAGTGAGATGTTATATGTAAGATCTGATTTGCTAGTTCTTTCTTGTAGAGTTATAAATGGAAAGATTACACTATCTGATTACTAGTTTCTTCATACTCTGCATATAATTTGTGGCTGCAGAATATTGTAATTTGTTGCACAATATGTAACAAACAACTGAAGAAATGTTTAATAAATATTGTACTTATTGGAAGTAATATCAAACTGTATGGTGATAAGTATTGTCTTAATTCTTATGGTTAAGGGGAAATATAGGCTTGCATTGTGCTCAAAACATAGCCATTTATGTTCAACCAGGGCACTTTAGACCTATTTTAGAATAGCAACAACAATGCTTCCCAGCTAATATACCTGATAAATGATGCAACAGTGCAGGCATGTATACTGTACAGGGATTTAGCAGATTTGGTTTGGAGGGAGGTTAAAGTGGTATTTATGAAAATCAAGTACATTTTGAATGTACAATATTTAGTCAATTATCTCTTATCTTTAGAACCATTTTTAAATGGCTTTATTTAGAAATGCTTTTGTTAATTCATCTGTAGTAGAGATGGAAAATTGTATCTTTTTCCTAACTTGTGAATGATCAGACTAACAATTCAAGCTGATGTAATTTAGCCAGTATGTGCTTTTTTTATATACTGTTACTTCCATATTCTGAATCAATACCGTTTCAACTTTATTAAATAAGTTTAGCGTACTATCTTCAATAATTATTCTGCCCTCCATAAACTGTAGCTATACGACTTGTGTTGGGGAAAAGTTAAAACACTGAAGAAGCTTGGGAGTAGGTTTTTCTCTCACTTGATAATAACCCTTACCTGAAAAATGATACCCCTAAAAATGAGTTAAAACCATTTGTGGCTGGGTGGAAATGATGATAAGAAGTTATTTGCCTGGGTGGATTTTTGCACCCACATGAACATGTAAGTCTCAAGAAGATCTTGGGTTTTTTTGAGTTGGGTTCTGAATCTTTGTTTTCCCCTAAACACTTTCATTGAAGATTTTCCCCTTATTGTTTGTTTAAATATATGCTACAGTAGCCAAAACACTGTACACAAACACATCCTATGGTGAAGTCTTTAAACTTAATTCAGGGGTTAAAATACAAGTAAAAGCAACCCTTAAAATATTTTTTATTTTATTTTCACTAAACAGGCAATCGTAATACATGGTACAAAAATAAGTGGGTAAGATTATTGTAAAATGAATGAACAGAATAAATATACAATTGAATTTTCCATCTATGAGAATTTCACAATAAAATCATAGTTTACTTTGTATTTTAGATGTGCTTATTGAGAATCTATTCATACTACATAAGGCAACTGATCAGTTCCTGAAAAGTCACAGACAGTACTTGGGTAATTTAAAAAAAAAAACACCTTTAAATAGCTATGTTTGCCTTAAAACAGTATAAAACACAACTTTCAGAAAGAAACACTTGAAAAATAATTGAATAAAACACAAACTTTGGATTCTGAAGCAGAATTTGATTACATACAGTAATTAGGTTGCTCAAGCCATTATTCTTGATGCACTAGCAGAGTTTCCACAAAATTTACATGTTTACTGAATAATCTGGAAAAGACATTCAAGACAAGGAAAATCATGTTGCCCTTCATTATGCCTGTTTGGGGGTGAGTCTTTAGTTAAATGGGGAAAAAACATTGCCTTCTGCCCTCATCTTTAAAAACAAGTTATTTAATGTGGGGCTATGGGCTTTATCGTGGCTAGATGTTGGGGATTATAAAGTACAGGTCAGAAACAGTTCTTTGAAGAAAATGGAGATCTTTGTGAGGTGGAAGCCATTCTTAGTCTGAGCCTCCTTGACCTTGTGTTGAAATTTCATTTATTAGGAGTAATGTTGACTTTGTATGCTTAGTAACAGACTACCTTTTAACATTTTTTGTGCTGCTTTATGCTTGGCAAGTGCTTTCAGAAACATGCTCATAAGCAACTGTACATTAACATCTTTCATTTCTAGATGAGAGGCTCAGAGAAAAGTTCACCTGCACATGGTCATATATAGCTAGTCACTTGTAGAACAGAGACTCTCCTGACTTAGTCCAGTGTTCCTTCTACCATTCGAGATTATGCCTGTTGATATTTACAGAGGAACATTGAGATATTTCTAATAGGGACATGGGACTTAATAAAACTTGTTTTCAAAAGTTTGTAATGCACAACATTTCCTGTCTGTCCTGATTTCAGGAACTTTTGCCTAGGTAGATTTAATTTCAGTGATTAAAGCTCCCCAGAGTTCTTAGATTGGCCTACCTTTTAACATTACTGAATGACTGCTAAGCCAAAATTATTTTCTTTTTCTTAAAACAGTGCCTAAAGAACAGTGGTTACAGGGGCCAGCTATGTGGTGCTGTAGATAGATAGAGCTCCAGCCTTCGAGTCAGGAGGACCCGAGTTCAAATCTGGCCTGAGACATTTGAAACTTAGTAGCTGTGTGACCCTGGTCAAGTCACTTAACCCCGATTGCCTCATTCCCCCCCCCCCCGCCAATAAAAAAAAAAGAATAGTGGCTATCGACTTGGCTACTGGCTTTCTCAGCCAGCTATAAAGCAACTTCCACAGATAGTGTGGTGTTTTGCTACTCACTGGAAAAAGAATTTGAATGCTAGTATCTTAAAAAATCTTTTGTATGATGTAGAGTTGGAGTGTCACTTATAGAAAAAGGGTTTCTCCCATCAATGTTCTGTGGAACTTCCCTTTCCTAAGTCGTGTAAATCTAGTACTAAATTTCAGGAGGCACCATGAGTGTAGATTTCCATTTTCTGCTGTCACTTGTTATATAGTACTGAGTAGCTTCTTTCTACAGGATGTTCTTCTGATACAGCTGACACATGTACAGATTCCTATTTTAAAATCAGTCCAAATGTGGCAAACTAGTATTTCTCTTCCTTTAAGGATTACTGTGTATTTGGGGGCAAAATATGAAGTGTCTGTGATTTCACTAGTATTAGACATCCCTTTCACTAATACTGATCACAACCAGTCTATGACTCAGTTCAGTGCTTCCCAACTTTCTCGTCCCAAGACCTTTTATAATTAAAAACTGAGGACCCTCATATTTCTAATTTAGAAATTAAACTGTATTATGAAAAATATTTTTGACCTCCTGTAACCTGTCTCATTTTTCCCTGACCACACTCTGAGAAGCCGTTGACTGGTTTTTTTACACAGTGCTTTACAGACATTTTCATTTGAACATCACAGTATATCTCATGAGATGCCTACTATAGGCATTCACACATTATCATAGAGGAAGCAGGTGAAGTGATTGGCCCATAGTCACATTGCTAGTGGCAGGATTAAGCCTTGTTTTTCTAACTCCAAGCCCAGCATTCTTTCTCTCCTATACCAACTGTCTCTATAGGACAGTTTTTTTTTTGAAGGGGAGGGGAAGTGTTTCCAGAACAACAATTTCATTTGTATATAGAACTTCCAATATGTTGACTCCCTCCATCAATGCAGACCAGTAACTCCTCCAGTCTTAGTGACAGTCTTAGTGAACTGCCTGAAGGCTAGGCCAGGGCAGGGTAGGGCACTGCATGATTTAGGTCACAACTGCCCAGGATCAGAGTCACATATTGTCAGGAAGAGAACTTGAACCAGGGTCGTCTTTACTCTAGCCTTCTGTCGATAGTGTATATTATTAATTTAATTAACAACACATCTAGAGACATTTCATTTTGTGTTTTAACTGGTCTTAAGTCTTAGAGGATTATTTCCTCCCCATAAACATTTTACCATCTAACTTAGAATTCCTTGTAACAGACTAGGCAGGAATTACCTCTTTGTAATGCATGACCAACAATCTGAAATGGCTGGAATTGGCTAGAACATATAGGTAAGCAATTTACATTTTGTATATCCCAGAACATTACTATAATCTAGCTTCAAAGAGGTTTTATACCACTTTAATGGGGCTTGCAATTTTCTTTCGCTACAGTTGAATGTTTAGAAATACGTACCTCACGGTTAACCTCAGAAAATAATTAAATCTACAGCCGACCTATCCCATCCTTCATAAATGTAACTGGCTTTTCTTTATAAAGCAACATATTCAAATCTAAAAGTATTCCCCAAAACCCCTAAGGGCTTTTTTCTAATGCTCTACTACCAAACACCCTTTTCTCAATTCTTAGTTATTAGGATTTTTATATTCTACCTACTTTCCTCTTTTATCTTCTTTCATTCATGACCTGAGAGAATTCAGTTTGTGAAAATGGAGTTTTATGTTCTGCAGGCCGATAGTTAGCATCACTTTTCTAAAAAGGTATAGAATTATTTAATTGGTTAAATTACACTTCCACTTTAAGGTGGTAAGGAGACTCCATCTTCTTTTTCTAGTGCTTTTGCTAAGGGTAGAGGTACACTTAGAACCTAAACTTCGAGGAATACTGTAAGTTACCCAAGAGATGGGCATAAAAATCACATCAAATCATCCATTTGATAAGAATCTGAAGTGCCTTCAGTAACAGGCATTTAATGTTTTTTACTGAGGTACCATCTTTTCAATTCAACAGAGAAGACAATTGTCCTCAGCAAGAAAACTAGTGTTACTATCTCCCCAACATTTCAATGGGCTGTATTCATTTTCATCAGCAGGTCAAGTGTTAATGCCTTTCTTGTTGTAAACATGCAAAATGAGGTTTCCCAAACAAGATTTGATTTTCCCAAATGAGGTTTCTTTGTGGAAAGATCAAAAGCCTCTGGCCAATGATACCTCTTAGTTCCCAGTTTGGAAGCAAAGTATTTTCAATGTCATATTTCTAGCCTTCTGTGGACACTTAAATAAAACAGGTGATGCAAACAGGTTCTTGAGACAACTGTCTGGCTATGAGAACTGTTGCCATTCCATTTTTAAGCGGACAAACTTGTCACACTATTTTCTATTAAGAACTAAGAAGCTGAGTGGCTTGGCAATCCCCATAGAGTCGCTGGAAGCACCATTTGAGAAAACCTTGGTCTGGAAGGCATCTGCTTTTCCCTTTTATGGGTTCTAATTAGAAGATTCATTTTTTCAATAATAATTGAAGTAGCTTTCCACTTCACACACGAGAAATTCATTTAGAGCCAGTAGGTCAGTGCTGTGGTTCTCTGCTACATCAGTATGATCTGGCAAAAAATCACTTTTGCTGGGCTTCCAGCAAATTCTTGTTTTTCCAAACAACCAGGTTTGGGCTGGCAGATTCCAACACTGCTTGAGATGTTACCTGAAATAGAAAGAAGGCCATGTGTTACAGGCAGGAATGGGCCAGCAAAGAAAAACAGAATTCAAGAATTATGTGCATCCTTAGCCAGGCCAGGGTGACTTTAGTAGTTTGAATTTAGGCACAGTAGAGCTTTATTTTAGATAAGAAAGGACCTTAAAAGACCATCCTACCTTTTGTTTTTATCAATGAGGGATTTAAGGATCCAAGGGATTAACTGCCTTGCCTAAAGTCACACACAGAAAGTGACTGAGCTGGTACTGGAACTGGGATTTGGGGATTCCTAATTCATGTTTCTTAAGCCATTCTATGAATACACAGTATGAACCCTTGCAGAGACTGCTTCTTTGACCTGGGTACAAGGAGCATCCCATTCAGCAGAGGGACCATTCTGGAAGAGAATGTCGTGCTGAATCAGCAGCCTCGTCCATTTCTTAAACCCTTCCTGAGATAGTAGGGATAAGCAACGACAGTGAACAGCCTTTGGATGGTGGCAACCACTTAGCTGGCATGTGCCCCTGCCAAGGTCCTTGCCCTGCAGTTCCTTACCAGTTACCTCACCTTTCCGCTCAGATCAAAAGGTGGAATTGTTTCTTCTTCTTAAAAAGAATGGAGAAACTACCCCCTTACTTCCTTTTTTAAAGTCAGGGTAGGAGGACTGGGATGGAAAACAGGTTCATCAGAGCCTGAGTGGGAGGCAGGAGAGAATAAAACTTGAGACACTGAGCCCCTATTGGTTATAAGGGGTTAGCTATGGCATACAGAGAAAAGATACTGGGGTTAAATTTGTTTTAAGTTTCTTAAAATGCAAATGGGAAAAGCTGGAGGTTTCATAGAAGACAAAGACTGGTACCCGGGTTAGGGGAGACAAAACAGAGAGAGATCTTGCTTCTCAATTAGTATTGCTGCAGAGATGTACTATTAGGTTATCTTTCTCTAAGCTAACAGAAATGATTCATTTCAAGCAAATGAACAGTCACTAGTGAGCTGACTGCTATCCATGATTATAACAACAGAGGACAGAGGGCCAGCCTTAGAGTCAAGAAAGCAAAGACATGGGTTCCAGCCATGACTGAGACACACTGGCTCTACAACCATGTGGATAAGTCACTATGATTTTCCATATGTGCATATCCCTCCTCAGAACCCAGCTCCAAACTACCTTTCCAACTGTATTATGTATACAAATCCTCTTTCTCTCGCATGTTACAGTCCAGCCAAACTGGCCTTCTTGCTGTTCCTCACACAACACTCCACTCTCCATCTCCATTTCTTTGCAATAGTTGTCCTCCATGCTGGTATGCACACTGTCCTCCCCACTGCCCTGGAATCTCTTGTTTCCTTCAAAACTCATCTTAATCCCTTGTTTCCTTCAAAACTCAGCTTGGTGGTCACCTACATGAAGTCTTCACTGATTTCCTGGCTGCAGGAGCCCTCTCCCCAAACTACCTTGTATTTATTTTGTATACATGTAACATATGTGCATATATAGAATATATATATATATATACTTAGATAACATATAACACACATTTAACACATATAGTAAATATAATTATGATGTTATAATTACATAATATATATCATAAAAATATGACAATGTATTAAGCGTAACAAACACACATACTAAATATGTTTCTTCCAAGAGAACATAAGTGACTTGAGGGTTGTATCCCTAGAGCCTGGCATATAGAAGGAATATTAGTAAGTGCTTATTGATTGATCTGATTCAATCTTCATTGGTAATGTCAATCTCTACACTAATGAAATCAAAGCCCCAATATTAATAACAGTTCATGTTTACATAGTGCTTTAAGGTTTGCAAATCACTTCATAGACATCATTTCACTGGAACTGAAAAGTGCTTGGAGAAGTTTGAACCCAAATTTTTTTGACTTCAAGCCCTGCACTCTGCCCACTGTGACAGAGCAGGGCACCACCCTGCCTTCTAAAAATGGTCTGCTTGGGTCCCCTTCTCCTCCTCTCTCATTCCCGTCCCCCTCCAATTGGCAACTTTTATATTGTTTTATCTTCTCTCAGTTTTCTATCATTTTTAACCTATCACAACTCTGAGCTCAGCCAGTTTTAAGGACCACGGCAGACATATTTTCATTCTACAGATATATATTAATAACCACAAGTGTTTCTGAAGAAAGAACAGAGAAATTTCCTTGTTCTCCCCACTGCTTTGCTTACCTGGTTATATCCTTTCACATGTAGCTGGCTTGCTGTCTGGGCCAGAAGCCCTGGCCATCATGTCTAGAGCTGCTAAGACTGAGTCATACAGGCGTTCTGCATGGTCCTCCAGCTCACTGGATTGCCTTGCAATCAACCCAAGGACATCCTTTAAAACTAACAAGGAGGGAACAAAGTAATTAGCACCCAGAATGTGCAAGTGCTATCTTAGAAATAAGAAAAAAAAGCATACCATTGGATCCTATAAAAATATTTTTCCCCATCAAGATGACAATCCTTGGTTCAAAGATACAGTCTTACTAATTTACTATTAAAAGCCCAGTGTACTAATGCCCAGAAACTGATAGGTGATTTTTCAAAACCTTTTGGTTCACATCACAAAATCCATTAGAGTTGGAAGGGACTTTAGAAGTCATACAGTTCAGCCCCTTCATTTTGCAGGTGGCAAAACAGGCCCTGAGAGGTTGATTTTTTTTCAATGACTTGCCCTAGATCACACCACCATGACTCAGCCGCCTTCTCCCACTACAAGTTACCTCAAATTAAAGCTACAAGTTAGCTCGTGTAACAGTCTTTGGGTTCAAATAATTGGGCAGCATGGTAGCAAAGTGTAAAGAATGAGGAATGGCTGGTCTAGGCCCTTCCCAGAAATGCAGGTTGCAGGAAAAACTCACTGTTGGAAATGGAGAAGGGGCTGGCAGCAGGAGGAGACGTTAGAGTCATGGTGGTGAGGTCTAGGGCAAGTCACTGAAAAAAAAAATCAACCTCTCAGGGTCTGTTTCCTCCTGCAAAATGAAGAGGCTGAACTAGATGACTTCTAAAGTCCCTTCCAACTCTAAATTAATGACCTTATAATATTAGTAAGTAGGAACAATGATACGGAATTATGGAGAAAAGCATCATACGAATGAACACACAAACCTTGGTGTTTAGACAAAGTACACAAATCACTAGATAGGGAACTAGGATCAGGATTCCAAGCCCCAGTATTTACTGACAGGGCAAGTCACTTAATCTCTTGGACCTTAATCTCCTCCTTGATGGCTCTTGGCCCTGGAGGCTGAGGGAGGGCAGCTGTGGGAAACAGCTGGGATGGGACCCTGACGTGAAAGCTCTCACTTCCAAGCTCTGTGAGCCCCTGGTATATGAGGGTCAACAGCAGTCAAAAGCCCTCATGTCCCTCATTCAAAGAAACTTTACAATTTTTATTTTGTTCGCAAAGCAGACAAAAATCCAAGCTGGTGGGGGTGTGGAAAGACAGGGAAGGTTAACCTCTCCATTTGTATTCTCAGGCCACCACCTTTAATTTTAGAGCCAGCAGGCACTCCTTCCTTCCCCTGAGCGGAAGGGCAGGATGCTCATGGCCCTGATTACAGCAGCACATAAGTGCCTTCCTTTTCTTTGTAATATTTGCAGCCATTGTTGGAAACAAAGATCATCTCATTCCCTGGGCCTTTATCAGTCCTGCTAGTCCTCTCTCTAGCTTCCTGCCACAGCTACAACATCTGCCAGCAGAGGAAGAGGAAACCACTGATCCGCAGACAATGCTGATGAGATGAAACGAAGGAGGACCAGAGGCTGGAGATCAGCTTCTGGAGGAAGCCACACCAGTCCAGCATCATCAGGGCAAAGTCAAGTCTTACAAGAGAGCTGTTGAGGCACCGTGACCTGACGAGTAGCCCAAAAAAGAGGAAAGTAACTTCAAATGTGATTAAAGCAGGTTTCCCCTTATGCACGTGTAGCAGATCTTTGGCTCTAAATGGAGCAGATTTAGAATAAGAAGAGATCTTTGGGTCAGTAGATGAGATCACGGAGAGAGGCTGGGAGACTTGCCCAGGCTCACAGGATCCAGACCCACATCTTCCCGATTCCAACAAAGACAACTCTGTCTTCTCACACTATTTCTTTGAAACTGTGTAGTTATTTTCTTTTTCTGAACCTCAAGTTTACTTTGAGGTTATGACCTCCTTCTAAGCACCTTAAATTCTCATGAAAATACTTAGGGGGAGGAAGGGAAAAAGGCTTGGGTTGGGAATCAAAAGAATGTATAACTCAATAGAATTCCATTTCCCAGTGTAAATTCAGGGAATAACTTCAAAAAATTCTTAGTTTTGGCTTTGGTAAGTAGCAGTGTCCAAATCTTCATATAAAAAGGTAACTAAAAAGGATTTGGAAGCAGTCAAGTTGTCTAAGTACCATGTGAAAAATAATGTACATTTTAGTGGTTTCAGGCACTGTGAAACGCAGAGTGAGGTCAGAAAATGAAAATAACTTTTATTAATTTTTTTTAAGGCAACTGGGGTTAAGTGACTTGCCCAGGGTCACATAGCTAGTGAGTGTCAAGTGTTTGGTCTGAGGCTGGATTTGAACTCAGGTCCTCCTGACTTCAGGGCCAGTGTTCTATCCACTGCGTCACTTAGCTGCCCCCCAAAACCACTTTTATAGCTAAACCAAAATCACATAATCAGTTAGATGGGACCTCAGAGGGAATCTACTCTCACCCACACATGCTCTTCCTGTGCCTGGACATTAACCTTTTCTTAATGGAAGCTAAGATCATATTAGTCGTTGTTTTTGTTTATATCATCTGATGATTCTCTCTGAAATTGAAATCAGTCCAATAAAATACTGAGTTCTTTCTTCAGATAAATTGCAATCTAGCTATGCTTCCCCCATTTTGCACTTATTATTTTTAAGCCCAAATGTAACACTACTGAATTGTAAGCCCAAATGTAAGACTATTGAATTCTTTCTTGGTGAATTCAGCCCAACATCCTAGGCTATAGTGTAAAAGCCTAGTAAATCAGAAGCAGGCACAGCAAGTTAGATTTGCATGTTTTACAAAACTGGAAGGATTTTGAGAGCTAATACAATGGAAGGTAAGTCAAGATCCAAGAAGATTTTGACAGCCTATAGTCTCACCATGGAACAAGCATCAGGCCTCATGGTCTTCTCACCCTAAAACACTGCTCTGCTATGGCAGCCCCTTTCTTCCACAGGTAAGTTCCTCCTTGGGCTCGTATTTTGGGGAGGGGCCCAGGTTGGCCCAACTTTCATTTCCTTCCTGGCTGTATGTGTAACTTTGCTTTAAATTTTAAATTTATTTATTTTTAGTTTGCAATATTCATTTCCACAAGATTTTGAGTTCCAAATTTTCTCCCCATCTCTCCCCTCCCCTTGCCCCAAGACAGTATGCATTCTGATTGCACCTTCCCCGAATATACCCTCCCTTCTCTTATCTCCTTCCCCTTCTATTTTCCTGTAGGGTAGATAGATTTCTATACCCCATTGCCTGTGTATCTTATTTTCCAGTTGCATGTAAAAACATTTTTTACCATTTGTTTTTAAAACTCTGAATTCCAAATTCTCTCCCTTCCTCCCTCCCCACCCACCCTCATTGAGAAGGCAAGCAATATAGGTTATACATGTGTAGTCATGCAAAACACTGCCATAAAAGTCATGCTGTGAAAGACTAACTCTATTTCCCTTTATCTTACCCCCTCCCCCTATCTACCTCCCTTTCATCATCCCCCTCTCTCTTATCCCCTTCCTCCCTATTTTCCTGTAGGGTAAGATAGATTTCCATACCCAATCGAGTGTGTATGCTATTTCCTTAAACCAAATCCAATGAGAGTAAGATTCACTCATTCCCTCTCATCTTCCCCCACTTCCCTTCCACTGTAAAAGCTTTTTCTTGTCTGTTTTATGTGAGATACTTTACCCCATTCTACCTTTCCCTTTCTCCTTCTCCCAGTATACCTCTCTCATCCCTTAATTTTATTTTTTAGATATTATCCCTTCATATTTAGCTCACTCTGTGCCCTCTGTCTATATATTCCCTCCAACTATCCTAATAATGAGAAAGGTCTCATGAGTCACAAATATCATCTTTCCATGCAGGAATGTAAACAGTTCAACTTTAGTAAGTCCCTTATGATTTCCCTTTCCTGTTTACCTTTTCATGCTTCTCTTGAGTCTTGTATTTGAAAGTCATATTTTCTATTCAGCTCTGGTCTTTTCATAAAGAATGCTTTAAAGTCCTCTATTTCATTGAATTTCCATTTTTTCCTCTAAAGGATTATACCCAGTTTGCTGGGTAGGTGATTCTTGGTTGTAATCCTATCTCCTTTGCCCTCCAGAATATTATATTCCATGCCCTGCAGTCCCTTAATGTAGAAGCTGCTAAATCTTGTGTTACCCTGATTGTGTTTCCACAATACTTGAATTGGTTTTTTTCTGGCTGCTTGCAATATTTTCTCCTTGACCTGGGAATTCTGGAATTTGGCTATAATATTCCTAAGATTTTCCTTTTGGGATCTCTTTCAGGAGGTGATTGGTGGATTCTTTCAATTTCTATTTTACCCTCTGGTTCTAGGATATCAGGGTAGCTTTCCAACATAATTTCTTGAAAGATGATGTCTAGGCTCTTTTTTTGGTCATGGCAGTCAAATCAGGTAGTTGATCAGGTAGTCCAATAATTTTTAAATTCTCTCTCCTGGATCAGGTCAGTTGTTTTTCCAATGAGACATTTCATATTGTCTTCTATTTTTTCATTCTTTTGGTTTTGTTTTACAATTTCATGATTTCTCATTAAGTCATTAGCTTCCATTTGCTCCATTCTAATTTTTAAGTAAATATTTTCTTCAACGAGCTTTTGGATTTCCTTTTCCATTTGGCCAATTCTGCTTTTTAAGGCATTCTTCTCCTCACTGGCTTTTTGGACCTCTTTTGCCATTTGGTCTAGCCTATTTTTTAAGGTGCTATTTTCTTCAGTATTCTTTCGGGGGGTCTCCTTTAGCAAGCTGTTGACTCATTTTTCATGATTTTCTTGCATCACTCTCATTTCTCTTCCCAATTATTCCTCTACTTCTCTTACTTGATTTTCAAAATCTTTTTTGAGCTCTTCCATGGCCTGAGACCATGTCATATTTTTCTTGGAGGCTTTGGATGAAGGAGCTTTGGCTTTGTTGTCTTCTGGTTGTATGTTCTGATCTTCTTTGTCCCCAAAGTAAGATTCTATAGTCTTGAGTTTTTTGCCTCTGTTTGCTCATGTTCCCCAGCCAATTACTTGACTTTTTAACTCTTTGTTAAAGTAGGGCTCGGCTTCCAGTGGGGAGAATGTACTGTCCCAAGCTTCAGGGGTTTTGTGCAGTTGT